CCTCCGGGTGGCGCTGGCTCCTGGGCCATGCGGGTAGGTGGGGAAGGCCACTGGCCGTCTGTCCATCAGCCCGCTTCCCAGATCCAGGTCAGAGTCCCAGGTTCGCCAGGGAGAAGAGTTCAGGGGTCACTCCCCACACAGAGACCAGAGCTGCCCTGGACAGGTTGATGGCCTGGGCACCTAGAAAGGGTCTGGCTTGTGCTGCCTGGGCCCAGGCAGTGTGACCAGGACAAGCCCACCCACTGCTCAGCCTCCAAGCCCTCAAGCCTTTCTGAGGCTTTTCCTTGAGCTCGGCCCTGCTCACCGGCACTCACCCCTCAGCCAGAAGTTCCTCATAGGGTGCCCTGGTGGTCAGCACTGGCCTGTGCTGCTGCCCACCCCCTCTCAGGGGGCTCTGGGGCCCAGCAACCCCCTGCTTCTGGGGATAGGAGAGGGAGAGGAGGGCCACAGGAGCCCCTGATCGGGAACCCTGCTGTCCTGTTCTGACCCTGACCCTGGCACTGGCTCTCGCCCATCCTCAGCCTGCTTTGCCGGGGGTTGACCGCAGGCCTCGTGGGGTGCCGTGGGCTCACTGCCCTGCCCGGCTTGCAGGTTCGTCCTGAGGGAGAGCGTGGGCCCCTGACCGCTCTGTGCCTCTGCCCGCTGCGCTGGGCCCGGGCTGCAGACCCTCCCCGTCTGCTCCTGGTTCGGGCCGCATCACTCCCACCTCCACAAGCCCCGCCCTGTCGCCCACCGGGTCTCCGAGAGGACACCTGTCACGGACTTGGGCCCAGAGGGTCACCCAGGGCAACCTCCTCTGGAGATCCCTGCCCTCACTGCCCGCACCTCCTCGGGGCAGCCCAGGCCGCCTCTGAGGCACCTGCACCAGGGCCGGGCTCAGAGCTGACCACACAGCGGGGGACGCAGGGTGGCGGCTTCCTGAGGGCATCAGGAGCCCATCAGAGGACACAGGGGAGGTGACCAGGGTCAGTGTGGCCACGGCCGCTGGAGCGGGAGGCAGAGAGGGGCATCGTCTGTGCCCCTGCCAGATGCAGAGACCAAGGGGCGGAACAGGACCTGCTCTGTCCTCTAGGGCAGCCAAAGAGCCTGGGCAGGGGCTGACCGAGCAGCCCTTGAAGGTCACCTGTGCTGGTGACACCCTCCCCGTGGCCCCTCTTCATGGTGAGCTCAGTGCCGTCTGATCTGGAGCCGCCTCAGGGGACGGCCACTGCACCCTGCGCTCTGCAGCCGCCAGGACTGACCGGGCCGCGCAGGCAGCGAGAGGACTGCGCTCAGCACCCCTAGCACGCACTCGCTCCTGTCCTCCGCGGCTGTCCCTGGGAAGCGGGGGACAGATCTGGGCCCCAGGAAGGAGGAAGTGGCTGGATCTGGGGGAAGAGTGACCGCCCAGGACCATGCCGGGCAGTGGGGGAGTGCGGCGAGCAGAGGCCGGGCTGCGGGGGCCTCGGGGGACCACCGGGCCTGGGGGCTCCTCTGGGGCTTTGTCACAGAGGAGCTTGCGCCTCTGGGCTGGGAAGCAAGACCCGTGTGGGTCGTGGAAATCTGGGAGAGGAATTTGGGCAGAGAATGGGTGTGGTTAAGACGTGAGGGGAGAACTGGGAGGACCCCTAACTTCTGGGTGTGAGTCACGAAAGATCACCAGAGAGCCCCCCGCACCTCCCCGGAGGCTCCAGCGCAGGCGGACTGGCCGGGAGGGGTCTCTGGCCTTCTCTGCCTGGACCAGCCTTCTGGGCTCCACCCCGATCCTCCTGCCCAGGAACCCGTCGGGGCTGCCCCTGAGCGCCCACCTCTGCTGCCTGGCGGGGTGGATGCAGGAGCCCGGAGCGGAGGCCAGCCTGGCCTTCCCAGCAGCCCCCTGCGGAGGCCCACGGCCCTGCAGAATCCAGGGCCTCCCTCCCCGGCACCCCTCCAGTGTCCATTCTTCCACCAAATGGTTTTGATTTTACAGGAAGCCAAGCAAGGGGCTCATCTGAGTTTAATTTCTGAAGCCAGGCCTTTGATGTAATACTTATTCATCTAAGTAATTAATGCCTCTGAGCCCCGAGTCGGAGCACTCCTCGGCGTAGCTGGTCTCCTTCCTTACACCGAGGGCAGACCTCACAGCGCTCCGCGTTTCCAAACCGCTCATTTGTACCAACTGGGACATTCCGAGGGCTGCGAGCACTTGGCGAGGGCGACTTCGGGGAGTCCTCCTCCTCTGCCATGGAAACCCCGGGGCCACGCACTCCCTTCCCCGGGCCCGGAACACCAGCTCGAGCCCTGCCCTCTGAGCCGTCGGACAGCCTGGGTTCCCAGACACTCGCTTTAAGCCCAGACTTCACTTATTCGACCAACAAACATTCGTTCAGCTCTGTCCGCCAAGTGCCAGGCGGATCCCGGTGGTGACTCTCCGCAGAGAGAGAACAGGTGTGAAGCCTTAGGCCTGAGCAGCATCTGAGCTCAGGGACATTGGGGGACCCTGGGGGTGGCGAGGGGCTGGAAGGAGGAGGCCCCCAGCACAGGGTGCATCGGCCCCGGGCATGGCCCTGAGCTGGTGCCGCCTGCCTGCGCTCTCAGCCTCGTGTGCACACCGCCGCCACCTGGCACCAGAGCCGCTGCCGAGGGCCGGCCGTCAGCTCTTATTTCTAAATGGAGAAGCTGGACTGGAGTCAGGGCCATCCCTGGCAGGGGGGCCCCGGGGTGGCTCTTGGCTGGCCCCTGGCTGGGAGGCTCCACGGATGGCATCTGGCCTCGGGATTTCAACTAGAGGCTGATGTTCAGAAAAGAGGGGCGAGGGGGCAGAGCCCAGGATGGCCACCCACGGCCGCGGAAGGAGGCGCTGCCGGGGTCACTTCAGGAAGGAAGCCTGTCCCAGTGAGAGTTCCCAGGCCTGTGCAGACAGCGAGCCCACCAGGCACCCTGACCGGCCAGTGGGCAGAGCAGCAGCAGGACCGGCACCCAGCAAGCCAGGGCACTATAGCCCTCTCTGGTCCTTCTGGATGCTGGACAGAGCTGTCACTGGTCAGGCTGGTGGGCACCACTGCCCAGGAGGTGCATGGCCCCCCAGTGGCCCACAGGTGGGGGCTCCTGGGCCCCTGGGGGGACAGCAAGCCCCTCCCTGGTCGGCTCACTCCTGCAGGAGTCCTGGCCTGCGACGGGCACACAGAAGTCAACGCCTCCCGGAGCTGTCCTCGCCTGGAAATGGGACAGTCCCCACCACCGCCGCTGGTTGCTCTTGGACAGCGTCCCTTTCGTCTCAGGACAGTAGCCTGAGCCACCACACTGGGTTTCGGAGTCCAAGAAGATCCTGCCAGGGCCGTTTCGTGTCTGCCCTGGACACCGCATCCAGGGCTCCCAGCAGCCCCCTCGGCCCTCCAGGGGCCGGCGGCCTCCAGCTCTGGGCGTAGAGGCTGGTGCCCTGCAGCGCTGCAGGCAGATGAAGCACCTCCTGCCTAGACCCACCCCAGGGGCGGGGTCATTTACTGGCCTCAACCTTAAACTCAAAACAGAAGGGGGGGCGGATGCTGGCTCTGCCCCTTCTTGGCTGGTGGTGTGGGGTGAGTGACTTAACCTCTCTGTGCCCTAGTTTCTTCATTATAAGATAGTTAATGATAGAGCTCGATTCTCAGAGACTGCTTAGAGCCAGGCTGGCTGAGCCCGTGCACCTGGTCAGTCCCAGCACAGACTGGTCACCAGGTGGCTTTGCCCTGCAGGCCAGGTCCTGGGGCCAAGTCTGGCTAGCCCGAGGCAAACAACACCCAGACCTTCCCTTATAGGGCTCACAGCGGAGCGGGAAGGACAGGCTAAGAGACGACACCGTGCAGCCAGGTGAGGGCAGCCGCGGGCACACAGGCTCTGGGGCCTCAGGAGGCCACGGCAGCCTGGTGCCCAGAGGTGCCCGGCCTCTGAGCAGGGCCCTAAGGACGAGGGGCGTTGGCTGGAGAAAGTGGGAACTAAGCCGGAGCCATGGCTCCTCGCTCTCAAGCCCCACAGCAGACCCCGACACGTGTGCCCTCGCACGCACACACCACACGCACATGCACACACACGCACATCACATACACACACATCACACACATGCACACACATGCGCATGCACACACACATACACCACACGCACACACACACACCACACACACCACACACACACACAGACACCCACACGCACATGCACACACACACCACACACACCACATGCACAGACACCCACACACCACACGCACATGCACACACACCACACACACCACATGCACACACACGCACATCACATACACACACCACATGCACACACACACACACATGCACACACATACGCACACACACATGCACACACCCCCCCACGGGTTGGCCTGGCGCACACAGGCAGACACACCCTGGGCCCTGGGGCTGCAGAGCAGCGCCACCTGGTGGGGCCATGGCGGGGCTGCAGGGAGCCGCTCTCCTGGAGGCTCCTGAGAGGCCCCCGGGGTTTGGTGTCACGTGGCCTGGCCACAGCGCAGCGGGGCAACGGGAAGCCCGGGACAGGCGCTGGGGCACCCTTTACTGGGAGAGCCGGGGTGCTATGGGCCAGTCCCAGCCAGCGCCCTGCTGGCTGCCGGCTGGCCTGGGGTCACTGGGCAGAAACGGGGCCACTCTGTGATGCCCGCCACGCCCAGGCCCACCGGGGCCTAGAGCCGCCCTCTGCAGCCCTGGGGGGGTGCCCCCTCCTGCATCAGGCCTGAAGCCAGGGCCCCTGGGGGTCTCCACCTGGCCAGGCTACAGAGCAGCTGGGGTGGGACCCAGGCAGCTCCCTGAGGCCACACAGGCCCCTGCCCTTGTCACCGCCAGAGTGGAAGGCAGCCCCCAGGCCCAGACCTGCTCCCTAACAAGACCGCAGGGGTCTGGGCGGCCCCCGGGTCCCCACAGCATCCCTCCCCTGCCCTGGCTACCCTGTCCCCACAAGACCCCCAGCTCTAAGGCAGGGACTGTCCCCAGCCTGTGGCCAGCCAGGGGCGTCCAGGAAGCTTGGTGCTCTTCTGCCTGCCGTCTGCACTCGGGCCTGGTACGGAGAGGCCAGGGGCCTGGGCCGAATCCTGGCTGGGCAGCCTGCAGAGGTCCCCACACCCTCTCTGTGCGTCATCTGTCAGGTGGAAGCGATGAACTTGCTTCCCGGGGGGATTTGGGTGGAAAGGAGCAGAACTCGGGTGCCATGTGCGCTAGGCCGACGTGGAGACTGGGCTCTACCCCATCCTAACCACGCTGGACTTTGGGCTTCATCTCCAAGAACAGAGGAGAGGGCATTTCAGAGAGGGCAAAGGGAGGAGGCTGGAGCTTCTGCAGCCTCTCTGGGCACCTGGGGTGTGAGGGCGCCGTGACCAGGGACCCCGGTTTCACAGATGCAGGCGGTAGGCACGACTCCTCGCATTTCCATAATTTACTCTACACCAATTAACGTCGGTGGTGATGGGAGCGCATCTGAATTCCCTCCCTGGGAGCCAGCGCGCTCTGGAGCTCCGAGGGTCTTCTCCTGGGCTGGCACGATGTTGATTTCCCCCGAGTCCCCTGGAAAGACGTTGTGGAGAGACGTGAGCTCGGCAGCCACCCGACATCTCGTGCAGGGGGAGCAGGGGGGTCGGGACGGTGCTAATTGCCAATTGAGCTCTAACGGGAGCTTGTGGGACAGTGGCCCCACGAGGCCAGACGGAGGGACGGAGCCCGCCTCGGGCTGAGGCGCACCTGCGGGGCCACCACGGAACGTCCTTCCTGGACCTCAGAAGGGAACCCAGAGAGCGCTGGCCGGGCCGGGCGGGTCTGGGCAGCTCTGCTGCGATGGGGCTTGACGGGGCCGAGCCCCCTGCAGGCCGGGCAGCTGCTGGACGACGCTCCACGTGTTCACGGTGGCCTTTGTGGCTCTCGGCTGGAGGAGCCCCCGTCTGGGGACGTGTGGGAGATCTGGGGGCTCAGAGCCCACCTACAAGCCCAAACGAGGGCCTGGGGCCTGCCAAGGGCTCCTGCCAGCCCCCCCCCCGCCCTCCAGCAGCAGGCCCTGGCCGTGCCCAGCTTCAGATGCCCACGTCCTGCTTCTAGGGAGTCTCCGGCCTGTCCTGAGGGTGCCGGCTCCTTCAGGGCCTGGGCTGCTCCCAGCAGGAACTTGCCTGTGGCCCCCCGGGGGGCAGGCCAGCTGCTCGGGCAGCCCCGAGGGACGGCTTCAGAACCGCAGGGCGCCCTGAGGTCCTGGGACGCGGCAGGTACCTTGTGTTCTGTCCTGTGGCCACACTGATGACCGACACAGTGACCGTTGGCACCCACTGCACCAGCCTTGTAAGCACCGTCCAGAGGATCCTCTGGGATCCTCTGGGGTCGTCTGGGGTCGTCTGGGATCCTCTGGGATCGCCTGGGGTCATCTGGGATCTTGCCACAGTGCAGCACCAGGCGGCCCGCGATGGCCCCTGTTCCCAGACAAACCAAGGTGGGAGGGCCAGCGTTCCTCCTGAGGCCACCGGGGCCACCCACTGGGCGAGAACTGAGGTGTCTACTTTGGGTCCAAGTCCTGATATCAGGGACCCCCACAGTGGCCCGTCTCTTCTCCTGGTCCTGCATCGAGGCCTGGGTCTCAGGGGGGCAGGGGTCTCTGGGGGAGGGGCAGAGCGCCCCCTGCCAAGCAGCCCCGGCCCCAGCCAGAGAGGACAGGGCTCTGGCCCAGGGTCAGCTGATGTACTAACGGCTGGGAGGCCGTCCGGTCTGAGCCATAAACCACCCACGGGGACGCACGCACTTCTCCTGGCGCCAATGGCTCCGGCGGTGCCACCTTGACCGTGGGACCAACCCGGCTGCTCTGGCGGCCTGGTCACAGGCCTTTCCAGGAAGCCAGAGGAGGGTCAGTGACTGAAGCCGTCCTTCCTCCTGGCCCGCCCCGCCTCACTGCCCTTGTTTACCTTGGGCACGGTGTTCTCGGGCCGTGACAGCCGCGGCCATAAACGGTGGCCTTTGTGCGCCGAGCGGCTGCCTCCTGGGGTCAGGTGGCTGACTGGTCGGTGGTGAGGAGACTATTTTTAGCCTGTCCCCGTGACGCTGGCTCGCGGCCCTCCTGCTTGACCTTCCGTCTGAACCGAGAGGAAACAGAGTCGCGTGTCATGAAACCCGGGGTAACTCTGGGGCAGCACGTGGGCCACCGAGGTCAAGCGGCCACCAGGAAACCTGCCACGGCCAGCGAGTCTCCCTGACCGCGGGGACACGCGTGGCGTTGACTGACAGGGCCTGGACGGAGGCCAGGGTCAAGAGGTCTAGGCAGCTGCTCACCAGACCCCACCTCACGGGGCAAGTGGCCAGCCCCGTTGACCCCCAGGTGTGGACCCCACCAGGACCCCCGGTGAGTCCAGGGGCAACTGTGCTCCAGAGGAGTCCCCCCTTGGACTTGGGGCTGTGGACCGACTGTCCCCGCCGTCCCTGCTCAGGGTCCTCACTGTGGGAAGCACCTATTCACAGGCTGCTTAGAGGAGCACCAGAGCAGGCCCCGCCCTGCCCTGCCCTGCCCTGCCGGGCTAGTGACCACCTGCCGGGGCTAGTGACCACCTGCCGGGCTAGTGACCACCCTGGCTACTGACCACCCTGCTGGGGCTAGTGACCACCTGCCGGGCTAGTGACCACCTGCCGGGCTAGTGACCACACTGCCAGGGCTAGTGACCACACTGCCGGGGCTAGTGACCACCTGCCGGGCTAGTGACCACACTGCCAGGGCTAGTGACCACACTGCCGGGGCTAGTGACCACCCTGCCAGGGCTAGTGACCCCCGGCGTTGCTGGTGGCATTAGTTCCTGTCACCATGTGCCTGTTGGGGTCCAGCCCACGCAGTTGACCAACCCGAGCTGTGGGTGGGTAGGAATCCTGTCATGGTGGTCATTGTCATGGTGGTCATCACCTGGGGACAGGAGGAGGCAGCTATGGAGCCCAGCAAGAGAGGCCCTGGGGCTGGGCAGGGCTGGGCAGGGCACCCCACCCCAGGGGCAGCAGGGGCCAGCCCCTCTTCCCTCCCCAGCTCCGGCTCCCTGCTGGTTCCCCCTGGGGTCGCCTCAGCTGGACCCAAAGCTGGGAAGCAGGGCCACCTGCCAGTCTCAGGGAGGGGCCCGGCTGGCTGGCCTGGGGGCAGGCAGGGAGCCGCCCACACAGTGAGCCTGCAGACCCTCCGGCCAGGGGCTGCCCACCTGGGCCCCCCACCAGCCAGGCCCCAGCTCCACAGCCAAGAAGGGCCACGTGGGCCTTGGAGCCCAGACCGGCGGTGGGAACAGCTCCTGCGTCCAGCCCTTGCCTTGGTCAGGCGCGTGCCTGCTGGGTCACTGACCCTGGGGGAAGCCAGGTGGCAGCGGAGGGGACAAGCCTCCTGGGCCTTCCTGAGCAGGCCGGGCACCTCAGGTCAGTAACTCCAGGAGCAGGGGCAGGTCGCGGCAGCACGGGGACGGCTAGGATGGCCAGCAGGACGGGCAGCCTTGGGGACAGTCTCAGGAAGGACTGCCTGGGTCACACGGCTCCACCGTCTCCGGGGACCCGACCTCTCAGGAGCCACGAGCACCAGCCACCTCTCAGGCAGAAGGCCCTCCTGGAGGCCGGACAGCAGCCAGGGTCCGCTCGCCCCGCAGGCCCGGGGTCCTCGGTCTTCATACCGGCAGCAGAGGGTGCTTCAGGCCACCAAAGCTGGGCACATCCCCTGAGGTGCCCATGCCACATTCAGAGCTGCCCAGGTCAGTCCCACGCACACCTGGCTCAGGGCTCCCCGGGGGCTGCGGTCCTTACCCTCTTCCATCCTGGGTCCCTTGACACAAACCTCTACTCCAAACAGGAAAGTGGCTTGTGCCAGGCCCCGAGCTTGGCTTCGACTCAGGGTGGCAGGCCCAGCCAGGCTGCGTCCAGGTGGTGGGCGCCTGCCCTCCTGTCCCCACCCCCACGGCCACTTCCCCTCTCAGCCCTGACTCGCCCCGTCACCGCCTCCTGACACCACCCCTGTGCCCTATGGCAGCCAGAGGGGCCCTGCAGACACAGACACTGTCCCTGCTGCCAACCCTGCAGGGGCCCTTCCCAGGAGGGGCTCGTCCACTGCTCTGCCCACCAGGCCTGGCCTGCAGGTGCTTTCCAGCCTCCACCTTAGGCCTCCCCACACCCTGCCTCCGGGGCCCAGGTACGTGCTGTGACCTCCCCTGGCCCTGGCTCCAGATCCTCGCCTGGCCAGGCCACCCAAGACTCAGCTGTGCTGAGCGGGGCGACCGGGGGCGGGAGTGGCCTCTGCCCAGGCCGTGCCCTCTGCCTCTGCGTGGCCCCCTCTTGTTTGCCTGGTTGATTTCATCCCTCTGCTGCTGCCCGGCCCCTCTCCCCACTGAGAGCCCTGCTGCTGTGTGCATCTTCCGACGGCCGGGCGGGCCTTCCCGCTGCCCAGGGCCCGTTTTGTCTGCGTGGGCAGTCTCCGGACAGCTTCATCGTGGCTGGCCGACGGCAACTCCGCACACACGGTGTCAGAGTGCCCAGTCTGATCAGTTTGCGCTGACCACGTCCATGAGCCAGCACCTCGCTCAAGACCAGAGACGTCCATCGCCACAGGAAGTCTCCCGTCCCCGTCCCTGTCCTTCCCTCCGTCCCCCCAGGCATCTGGTCTCCAAGGCTACAGACGAGGCCTCGAGGGAACCTCCCCAGGGCTCCTCTGTTGGACACTTTCTCCAGCAAGGTGACCTAGGGACATGGGGTGCAGTCCAGAGGGAAGTGGTACGTCACTGGTGTGACTTGGGAAGGGATGGGGTGGTTCTCACCAAACGGTCCACCCTCACACAGCTGGGGCCCCCAGATGCCACCCGCCCTGAGACTAAGCCAGAGGACCCGCAGAGCCCAGCCTGCACCAGCCTTTGGAAACCCAGACCCTGTGCAAACAAGCCCCTTTTCTGAATAAAGCCCCCAACCTCCAGTGTTTTGTTACAGCCATGGGAGATGAGCTCATGCGTGCGACCAGTGTTCCAGACCTTTCTGAGTGGACTCGGGCGGCACGTGCTTTTCGCCTGGGCCCCTGCGTCCGCTCAGCACTGTGACTCATCTGTGCTGTTGCTGGTGTCCGGATTGCCCTGGTCAGAGATTCCGTGTGGGCGCACACAGCCCTCTATCCTCCCAAATGGCCCTGCGGTTGCTCCTGGGTCCTAGCTGTCACAGCAATGCTGTGGCCGACAGTGTCTCTGACGCTGGCCTCAGCGCTCTGGGGCAAAGACCAGGAGCAGGTGGCTGCTTAACTTCCCGAGAGACCTCGCTGGCCGTCCAAGTAGCCCTCCCGTTCACACCAGTGCGCAGGTGCCCACCCCACCTGCGGTGGCAGGTTCCCGGGCCCAGTCTGCGGCCTGGTGTGAGCGCCTTTCCCCCGCCCGCCGGGCACCTCTGGGCTCATTGCCATCTTCGGGTCTTTGTTGAAGTCTCTTCCAAAATCCTGGGCCTGCTGTTCAAATTGCGCTGTTCTCCTGTTCTGAGAATTCGGGGTTCTTTCTGGATTCTGGGCACAGCCCTTCGTGTGGCACGGGACTGGCACATATTTCCCCAGCCTGAGGTGTCCCCCGTGAGCCCACAGCACAAAGGCCCTCGGGGGGCAGGTGTGCCAGGGAGACCGCAGGCTCCCATTCACTCACAGCTCACCGCCTCCTAGATGCTGACCTGGCGCGAGGCGGGCCTGCCCCTTTCCCACAGCCGTCACTTGTGGGGCTTGTCACCCCCGCCCAGGGCTGGCGCGTCCACCCGGCCTCCTTGCCCCTGGAGGACTCCTTTGTCCCTGAGGCCGGGGGTCCTGGCGTGGGGGCTTTCAGCTTCTGTGAACATCTTCAAGTGTCTCTCTCCTCCGCCTCCTTCCTCACTCGGGGACCAGCTGCGCCTGTCACTGTGGACGGGGTGCAGTGCTCGGGGGTGACCCTGACGCCTGGGCGTGCCGCCTGCCGCAGCCCCTGCAGCTGGCCCCTCCGCCCACTCCTCCTCTCTTCTGCCAAGTCTGATCTGCCGAGGCCCCGAGGGTGGCACCCATCACGGACACCACGGTCCTCGTCTCTAGGAGCTGACGTGGCCCTTGTGGGCCGGGGCCTCTGCCATGGCCACCTGTGGTCTGGCCCCTGGAGCGAGGCCCCTCCCTGGAGGACTGACTTGCTTCTGTGGATAAGAGAAGGCGAAATCGATGGCCGCGGGACAGAACGATGTGGCTCTGTCTTGCCATCCCCTCCCAGGGCTGGTCAATGAGCTGAGCCAGTGCAACACGCACGCGGGGCCTTAAGTGTAAAAGCGAGAGTAGGAGCGCCTCACGGGGACTTTTCCATGTGGCTAAATAAAGACACGTCACTCTCAAGGTCGACTCCGCCTGGTCCCTTCATTCATCTTTACCCTGTGGGCAGTGGGACTTCTACAGGGCTCACACGACCGGCCAGGAGAGAGAGGGCTCGCAATGCCCCTCACCCCGCCTGCCCACCTGCCCGCCTGTGCCTGGGTCCCCCCCACACCCGCCACCCCTCGGCCTAGTGGCAGTGACCACAACGATGCTGGAGTGACCGCCAAGGCTCCCAGGAGCCTGTGGAGGATGCACTCCGGGAGCCAGCCAGCCAGGGTCATTGCCCACAGGTGCAGGTCCCCGTCACTCCAGGTGCCCGGTAGCTGCTGCTGAGTCACAGGAGCAAACTGCAAGGCCATTCACCAGGAAGCCACGGCCTGGGCTGGCCTCCCCGTTCCAACAGTCTGGCTCCCGGGTCACCTGCCGGTCACAGCCCCAGGTGACCCAGACTCAGGGGCCGCCACAAGTGACCAGGTTACCTCCGGTGCCAGAAAACAGGCCTGGGGTGGCAGATGGGACACTTTTACAATATTCTTTAAATATAGCTGCAGAGAAGAGCCCAGTCAAAAGTAGGGGTCACCACCCTCTCCACGGAGCACCGGCCACTCGAGCTCTGGGCTTATTTACTTCTAGTCTTTTAAAACTGTATTTACTTTCCAGTCAGGGGAGGTGGCACACGCCTGCCACCCCAGAGACTCAGGAGGCTGAGGCGGGAGGACACAAGTTCGAGGTCAGCCTCAGCAACTTAGTGAGGCCCTGTCTCTAAATAAAACATGAGAAGGGCTGGGGACGTGGCTTGGTGGTTAAGCTGGGTCAATCCCTGGTATAAAAAAAAAAAAAAAAAGGATTTGCTTCCCTAGAATCATGGAATGCATATAGACATATAGGAATCTGTCCATGAAGAGCGGCACCGCTTCACAGAGTCAGGCTCCCAGCGCCCCCCTGAGCCCCGACTCTAGTTCAGCCGAGCTTGGGGCCACCTCTTGTGCAGTTTAGTTTTTTTCTTTTTTTCCAAGCAGCAGGACGTCCCCTGCCGCCCTGGGACTTGCTCTCTCGGGAGCCACAGGCCCTGTGTGCCCCAGGCCCCTGGAGGGCAGCGGGCTGTGCCACCAACCCCTGAGGAGTCGGCCTTTGCCTGAGGTCCTGGAGTCTGGGAGCCTGTCCTGCAGGCACCGTCCCCAAGGGCACAAAGCAGAGTGTGCGCTGTCGCGGGCGACTTTGGGGTGAATGGACAAGTCATGGGAGTGCGCAGGGCAGCTTCCCAGGAGGGCGGGAATGACCCAGCCAAGGCGGCCGGCGTGGACACAGCCTCCCCAGCTGGACGGGGCCCTGGGACAGCAGGCCCCAGCCGTGCCCCCAGGACACCTGGTGCTGGGGGTGAGGTCCAGGGCCACTCAGAGGCGCATCGAGCTCATCTTAGGTAAGAAGCAGTGGACGCCCCTTCCCTAGGAGGTGCCATTGCAGCCACAGGGTCCGGCGGGGGGAGGGGTGTTTGGCTTTCGGCTTCCTGGAACACAGGATTGTTATCTGCGGCCACCCAGGATGGGCGACTGGCCCACGGCCACCAAGACACCTCTCAGGGCTGCTCCGGGCCTCGGGCTGGACACGGCCACTAAGACCTCCGTCTCCTCCAAGCAAACAGGCCTGGGGTCCAGCGCCCCCACGAGGCCCACACTTCCCTGGGTGTGGAGGTGTGTGGTCAGCGGCTCTGGCCAGCTCAGCTGGACACCTCCAGGGCTACCACACCCTGGCACCTCTTGGGGGTGCGCAGAGCCCGGCCCAGGTGACCCCACTGGCACCAGGTGAGAGGCCAGCAGAGACAGGATGAGCAAGGGTCAACGTCCAGCAGACCCCCAGGTTGGAGGGAGCTTGGGAACAGGCCGGCTCCACCCCAGTCCTGAGGGGCCACGCAGCCTCTGGCCTCGACGCCCTCTCTGTCAGATGGGGAGGGGGACTCCACTTCACCAGAGCAGGAAGAAGGCGGGGCCAGCCGAGGGTCACTGCTCCCCTCCTCTCAGGCCGTGGCATGGCGGCCACCCCTGGGTCACGCTGGTGTCTCGCTGTGCTCACCTCTGGGTCACCTCGCTCTTATCTCCTCACCTTGAAGAAAGAGAGAAGAACCGCCCAGCAGAGGTGTCGGTGGGGCCTCCTGCAGGGTGGCTGGGAGGTGTCTGCCCAGAGGGAGGCCAGCACAGCCAGACGGGGAGGACAGGAGGACAGAAACCAGTCACCGCTGAGCTGCAGGCCGGGGGCTGTCTTTCCTGCAACCAAGAAAACACAAACAAGTAACAAAGCCCACTGCCCCCAAGCCCAGGGACAGCGGCCAGCCCCACAGCCCGGCCCTTCTGGGCCCTTCCACGTGGGCCCCACTGCCTCGTGCCCGGAGCAGGCCGGCCAGGAAGGCCGGGTCTCCCCCTTATCTCCCTCAGCAAGCCCTCTGCCCCGGGCCTGTGCTGGACCACATGTAGGGCCCAGATGCCACCGTCAGCTTATCTGGCCGCCAAGGGTGGCCTTATCTCCAGCAGCTTCAGGGCAGCCTCTGGTTTATGCTTTTATGAGGTCAGTCACTTCCCCTGGGGAAGGCCGGGCCATCTCCACGGTGCCTGGTGGGGGCAGTGGATTCCTCCTTCCAAAGCCCTGGCCCCATGCCAGTCCTGGCGCAGCAGCCGTGGGCCGGGGACCCTGCGTGGGTGGGCGCAGGAGTGGAGGTCACTGGGGGCAGCAGCGAGCCAGGGCCCTGGTGCTTTTGCAGGGGAGGTCACAAAAGAGGTCTTCTGGAGAGGGGTCCCCAGAAGCCCAGTCGTTCCCACGCCTTGTCTTGCTGCCCACGGGGTCTCCTGTCCCATGCCGGGGCACCTGACCCACTGGCCTGGGCCCAGGGCTCTCTGACGGACAGCAGGAGGCGGGGGTGGCTGCACTTCAGGCCTCGACTGGCCTCAGCCTCGGTTTTCTTCCCTGTGACGTGAGCACAAGGCGCTGGATGGCCCCGCCGTGCCGGACAGCCGGGGACCACAGGAAGTGCCTCCGCCAGGGCCCTGTAGCTGGCCGCTGTGGTCTGAGGGCTCTGGAGCCTGACCCTGACCCTCCCCAGGTGTTCTCACGAGGCAGTGGGCCGGGTCCAGGGACAGGTGTCCTCACCTCGCCGTCCAACGCCAGGGCCGTGCCTGCTCCTCAGGCCCTGGGCGCTCTGTGTCCTTGCCTCACGCGCCCTGAGAAAGGCTGCGGGGGGGCGGGAACCTGGACGGCCTGGACCTGCCTCCTCCCTCGCAACCCCCAGAGCGCTGTGCGGCCACAGCCAAGTCAACTCCCCTCTCTGAGCCGCAGTTCTCTCCTCAGCGGCGGGAGAGGCCAGGGAACGCCTGCGGCTAACAATCCAGTCCGTCCACTCAACGAGCTGCTGAGCGTCTCTGTGCCAGGCCAGGCGCGAGGGCCGGGCTCTCCGCAAGACCCAGCCTGGCAGGAAGAGCAGGGAGGTGTGCGGAGGGGGGCAGGAAGAGGGCTTCCGCGGGGAGCGGAGGGCCAGTCTGGGGTCGAGGGCCCAGGAGAGGTCTCCCCAGGCAGGTGACGTCCGAGCAAGACGAGGAGATGTGGAGTGAGACGGAGCGCCTGGCCCAGCACGGGCAGAGGGGCTGCCTGCCACGTCCGGACCCCGGGGCAGCTCCGAGGGAGGGGTCTGAATGGCCGTGAATCGCGGGTCAGGTCCGCGAGCTCATCCCATCAAGGGCCAGAGAGTGAGCTTGTCCAGCTGTGCTGGCCACATGCATGTGCCCAGCTCAGCTGTGGCACGGGGGCAGCCATGGGCAAGGGTGGGTGGAGTGTGCCCCTGTGTTGGCACGTTGGGTGATCAAGGCCTGGCCTTCAGCCTGGACATTGTGGCACACAGAAGGACCTAGAGGTCCAGCCAGTGTCCTGGTCCCTTGATGACCCCATACCTGCCCCGCAGGGGGCTGGCAGGGCTACCCTGTGCGGGGCATCTTAGGGCGCACAGGGCAGGTGTGCCCACCCCAGTCCTGTGCCCACCCAGTTTGACAAGGAAGAGCCGCCAAGGCCCGAGGAAAGGGACGTTGAGAAGGTGTTTTAAGGGACAATGTAGAAGGACCAGAGCCGCCGCCCTGCAGCCACCGTCTGCAGAATTATTTTCACGCTGTGCTGCGTGTGGCCCTTGTGGGGGCTGCACAGTGTCCCCCAGGAGACATGCCCACGTTTCACCAGCACCCACAGAACATGACCCGATCTGGAGTAAGGACCTTCCACATGGGAGCAGGGCAAGAGTCCCCACGGAGGGCTCTGGGCCAGCCTGGGCCGGAAGCCACTGACCGGTCCTCACGGGGAACACCACCAGGGAGCCGTCCTCAGGGGGAGCACCACCCGGGAGTGGGGAGCCAGGGGAACATCACCAGGGAGTGGGGAGCCAGGCCCGAGAGGCGGGCGGAGGCCTGGAGCCCCGGCAGCTGCGCAGCCTCCCCAGGCCTCCGGGAGGTGCGAGGCCTGCTGCAGCCTGGCTTGGGACTGTGGCTCCAAAGAATGGACGTCTGTCTGAGCCACAAGTGCACGGTCCTGGGCAGGGCAGCCCGGACACCACAGGGCTCTGGGGCTTCACACTCTGCACCCGGCTCCCGGAGGCGGGAGGGGAGCTGCGGCCTGCAGAGAGCCAGCAGTGCCAGGGCTCCAGACGGCCAGTGCTGCCCCTCCCTGGACTGGACGGGCTCTGAGTGCCTGGTGCAGGGTGAGGCAGAAACCACCTGGACTTTGGAATCCCGCAGCCCTGGGCCGGCCCTGGGTGACTTGGGCAGGTCCCGGTGCAGCCACCCCCTTGTCCAGAGGCGGGGCAGCCCGAGGAAGCCCTCCCTGTCTGCCCCAGGACACGGGGGTCAGCAGGTCCTCTCCTGCGCACAGGGCCCAATCCTTGACCTTCAGTGACTCAATTATTGTCACAAAACCCCCATGAGGGAGTCACTCCTCCTACTTAAACTGAGGCATGGGGTGAAGACGTCACCTCGGTCACACTCTCCTAGGCCAGTGGCAGAGCCCAATGCAGTGCCCCTGTCCAGCAGAAATTTGGGCCGGGTGGGTCCTCCGTGGTCATGAAGGGGGTATGGTCTGGGAGCAGGGGCAGGCTGCAGAGAGACCCAGAGCCTCCTCAGAGCGTCCCCGAAGGCAGGCTCTGGAGTGGCTGGGTGGCCCCTTGACGCGGGCTCAGAGGCAGCAGGCGCCCACCACCAGGCCCCCGTCAGAGCGGCTGGTCAGGTTCCCGGTCCCCCTGTGGCTCACAGACGTGCACGTCGAAGGGCCCTGTGCTCTCCTCAGCAAGCACGGCTGGGCACCCCAGCTGACCTCAGTGCTGGCCACAGTGAATGCTGGGCCCCCACTGGTCTCCCCCTGTCCCCGACCAGGGCCACGCCCAAGCCTGGGACTGGACGAGGTGTCCTGTGAGGTTTGGGGAGAGTGAGGACCCACCCAGATGCCCCAGCCCCAGGTGAGGCTGCAGCCACCCACTGTCCCCGCTGTGGAGCTGTCTGGCCGCCCTCCGCGAGGCGTGGCCGGGCGCAGCAGCCGAGCCCATCCAAGGAAGGGCTCTCCTAGGCTTGGGGTCCACAGAGGCTTGGCCTGACCTCGTCCCCTGCTGCTCCCCACCACACAGGTCCCGGCCGCCCCTCCCTGGCTGGGGCCTCCTCTTCAGAGCCAAGTACCCGGCGGCAGGGACCCTCCCTCCTGGCTTTACCGCCTGGCCACTGCCACCGACTCAGCGGGCTCGCGGCTGGAGACTCGGCCTCCCCTCTAGGGTGCGGGGTAAGAATGGCACCTGCCCTCAGGAGAAGGCCACTGCCAAGCCGCGTGCACGGGGGCCCGGCCCTGGACACGCAGCATGGGGCCACCAGCAGGGCCCCACCTCAAAGGGCTGTGTCCCAAAGTGCTGTGACGGTGACACAGATGCACGTCCCCCTACAGCCCCCGTCCCATCAGGGAGAGTCCTCTCCCCACCTAGATCTCTACCCTGCCTGGGCTGTGAGCAGGCCCCAGTGGTGGGGAGGACACCCCGCCGTGCCCAGCCGAGCCCTGGGCTCTGAGGGTCTTCTGGGCAGGCCTCTCCTGGACGCTCCGGGGTGGGCACCACCCTGGCCATCACACAGGCCGCCTCAGCCCCTCCTGCTCTGCAGGGGGCAGTGGGCCCGGCGGGGGGGGAGGGCGTCTGCAGGCCTGTGTCTTCTGGGCATCTGCGGTGGGCACGGGGTCCCTGAGAAGGCCAGGCTGGTGCTCGGAGCCACGTGCCTGGGTGGAGCTGATGGAGGCAGATGGCCAGCGTCTGACGGCCGGTCGGCTCGGCTCCGGCAGGAATCAGGCAAAGATGCGCACCCTCCATGGGCTGTCCCCCACCCCAGAGCCCTGGCAGTCCCCGGAGGGGGCCTAGTCCCCACAGCAGCCTCCCTGACCTCTCACTATGGCAAGGGCAGCAGAGTCAGTGCCCCTGATGGACGGGGAAGCAGCCCCAGAGTGACCCCCCCCTCTGCACCCCCACCGCCTGGGCCGGCTTCCCCCTCCCACCTCCAGCTGTAGGTGTCCTCCAGTGACCAGCGCAGCCCTCCCCAGGGACAGTCAGGCTGCAGAGCCCCTGTCCAGTCAGGGGGTGCCTGCCCAGCCAGGGGGTGCCCGCCCGGCCAGCAGGAGCCAGCGCCGCTCCACGCCGGGGCTGGAGGAGCAGAAGCAGTCCCCGTGGGTGCCTGAGGCGGGGGGTGGCCGGGGGGTGGCCGCAGAGCCCTGGGCTTGAGCCCGGGCAGGGAGAGTGGCCGAGCCCCGCTTCCTCTCAGAAGTCACTTGAGGGGCACGTTGGTGTGTGGGTCCAGGGGAAAGGCCACTGGGACAACCAGGGGGCGCCGGGCCAGGGAGGGCCTCGGAGGCGTGACCTTTAGATTTAGGAGATCGAGTGAGGGCGGGGGCGGGGGTTGGGACTCAGGGGAGGGGACGTCTGGGGGAGGCCCCTCTCTCCTGCTCCAGCAAAGGACCGGCTGACGGGCTCTTCATCTGGGTGGACCCCGAGGGGAGCCAGCTGTCACAGGACACTGGCTCCACGTTGGCCATGCCCAGTTGAGTTCAGAGAGATGCCCAGTGGGACTGGCCAGGGGGTAGTGAGACGGCCGAGCTGGGGAAGCAGCCTTGGCCTCTGTCCTCTGTTGGTCCCCTACTCTGACCTTCCCCTGCCACTCTGGGTCACATGCCTCCCTGGGAGGTGGAAGAGTGGCCCCCGTCCCCACCCCAGGGGCTAGCTGGCCTGGCTGTGACCCAAATGGACAGTGGCTACCTCCTGGTCACCACCAGGGCCGCTGACACACAGCTGGTGCACCATAAATGCCTCCTGAAGGAGGGCCTCTCATGGAGGCCCGTGGAGGCAGCACACGTCCAAGCAGTCCTCCGCCAGCCCCCCTGGGCCAGGCAGGTTATGCGGCCTCGTCAGCCCAGTGTCCACCCCCTCGGCCCCTGGCCTGGCCCAGAGTCAAACACAGTTGGCTTTCTAGGTCACCACCCCAGGACCCCAAAGTCCAACCTGGCTGCTGTCCCCAAACGCCTCCTGTGTGTCTTGGCTGTTCGGCAGGGGAAGAGGTGTCAGGAGCTCCCCTGAGCCTAGGCCACCGGGGACGAGGAGGACCGGTTACAGGGACTGAGGGAGCCACGTGCCGGGGGACTTGAGGGCACCACGGTCTCAGCTGGGC